AAATCATTTTTCATCGGCATGACAAGGTCTAGGGCGTTTCCGACGCTTGCTCAGCTGTGGGGCAACGAGAAGATATTCCAACACTTTGTTGCTTTGTTGGCACTGGACATGTTTTATAACCTCGAATAGTGCAGCAAGAAAAGGTGCTTAAGCTTAGTAGCACCACTCCAAACAGTAGCACAAATCCCTTACCCGGCTAACATTTAAACACCCCATCCCACACCTGACGCTGACCGTAGCCCCCCCCCTCTCTTTAGGCGACCAACATGGATAACCGAACATTCAGAAGAGGGGCGTGCTTGATCCATGGGTTCCCCTACAAATTAACCTTAATTAAGCCTAACTGTCCCTAAACAACCTGACTGAAGGGGGAATCCAGGAGGGGTAGTATACCCTAAACCCTAAACCCTAAAACCCAACCTAGGGGGGAAGTAGCATAGAAGGGGGAAAGAAGGGGAACCCATGATTGATGCCAGGGGGAAGGGGTTTCCGCAACAAGTGTTGCACTCCACCTGCCTCCCCAGGCCCCCCAAAATGAGGGTTTGGGGTTTAAGGTGTAGGGTTTAGGGTGTAGAGCTCAAGGTTTAGGGTTTAATTCTTAGGGTTTAATTAGGGTTTAACGGCTTCGTGCCTAAGGTTTGAAACCCCAAGCGCTAACCACCATACATTGACAACAACTTCTAATCCTGAACCCTAGAATCCTAAGCACCCTAAACCCTGAGCACATCTGAAACCCAACCCACATAGTCCTAAGCCCGAAACATGAAGCCCCAATCTTAAGGGTGTATAGTCCCCCTTAAGTAGATGGAATATGGCTTTGCGATGCTTTGGGTATTTTACAATAAGATCCCCATATATACCCAATATTCTATCTACTTAAGGCGGGCTATATCCTAAACCCCAAACCCTTCTATCTACTTAACAGGGGCAACAGAGTTTAAGCCCGCCTCTCGGCGTCTGGATCTGCATAGCAGAGCTCGTCGCAATTCTCGGGTTCGGTGACTGCCTTGGCCATCGGAGCCAAAAAGAATTAGAATCAATTAGGGGTTTGGGGTTTAGGGTTTAGGATTGATAAGAAGATCGGGGTGGTACTTTGAAGGCCCCCAATATCATTCGCGAATAGGTTCCGTTATCCACAACAGGGGAAAGTAGTACCTATCCCAAAGTGCCGCTTTGAAATAAAAACTGAAACCCCTTACCCTACATAGAAGCCGGCTTGCTAGGCTTCAGGGTTTCTGAAAATGAGCGGTCCCTCTTTTCCGAGGGCAATCTTACGAGAAGGATCGAAATATCTTAGGGTCTGTAGTGGGTCTCGATTATATTTGTACTTGGAATTGTTACGGACTTCCTAGAATGACGCTCGTGGAACCCTCAATGGTGACTCTATTATCTCCTCATGGTTCCCACATGTCCTTGGGTCCCACAAACTGACCTAAAACCTCAACCCTCAACGCTCAACCCTAAGCCCTAGAAACCTACATTAATGCTAAACCAGGTACCCTCATTTTTGGGAACCGCATAGACCCTAACCCCAAACCCTAAACCTCAAACCTTAATCCCCAAACCTTGAACCCTAAAATCCCAGAATCCTAAACCCCAAACTTTAAACCCTAGATGCCAAACCCGAAACCTTGCTTCCTAGAGGCCTTGTGGTGGGCACCAAACGTGGTGAGGACGGTGGCGCATGCTGCAGCAACCTCTCAAGGCTTCGTTTGCTGACCAAAGCCCCAATCGGTTTCGGGTTTAGGGTTTAGGATTTGGGGGTTTAGGGGTTTAGGGGTTTAGGGTTAGGCTTTGGGGCCCAGGGTTATGGGTGCTTGTCTTGTATTGCACAGGGAATGGGGGGATCAAATGCAAAGCTCACTGGAAAATCAACTGGAAACTGGGATGGGTTGCAGAGAAATATGAGCATTCGGGTATAGCAGGTGCAACCTACTTTCACCTCTAGCCAAGCCCAAGTACACCCATCAAGATTACCAAAGGAGCTATAGTCTAAACTCCAAGTATCCCCCATAATAACCCCTATAGTAGTTCCCTATACAATTCCCTCTATATATATATATATATGTACCCCCTTTAAGGAGTTTACACTATAGCTCATATTAGGGGACAAAGCCGGCTTCCAATTGCAGAGTTCAGAGTTGGGAATACTTTGTCATGACCTTTTGTCTGGAGCTTTGGGTTTAGGAGTTTCAAATTTGGAGCTTGGGACTGGGGACCCAATTTGAAAGTAATTATCATGCTAGAGACCTTGATGCTTTCAACGCCAGCCGGAAACCCTAAACCCTAAGCCCTACACCCTAAATCCTAAACCCTAACCCCTTAACCCTAAACCCCTCAGAGGCTCAATCCCCTTACTTCCCCGCCACAGAGCGTGAAACTGATACTGTGTCCAAGGCGTGCGGGGGTATGTAGCATCCTAAACCCTAAACCC